AATTTCATTTGCTAGTATTTTGTTGTGGATTTTTGCATCTGTGTTCATCGTGGATATCAGTCTATAGTTTTCTTTTTTGTTGTGTCCTTGTCTAGTTTGGTATTAGAGGAGTGCTGGCTTCAAAGAATGAATTTGGAAGGATTCCCTCCCTTTCAGTATTTTAGAATAGTTTGAGAATAACTGGTATTAGTTCTTCTTTAAATGTTTGGTAGAATTCAGCAGTGAAACTGTCAGGTTCTGTGCTTTTCTTTGATAGCAGACTTTTTATTAGTGATTCAATCTTGTTGCTTGTTATTGGTCTGTTTGGGTTTTCTGTTTATTCGTGATTCTATATTGGTTGGTTGTATGGGTCCAGGAAAAATTAAAAATAGAACTACCATATGACCCTGCAGTCAATACTGGGTATGTATCCAAAGAAATTAAATCAGCATGTCGAAGAGATATCTGTACTCTCATATTTATTTCAGCAGTATTTACAATAGCCAAAATACAGAATCAACCTAAGTGCCCATCAACAGATGAATGGATTTTAAAATGTGATATATATACTATTCAACTATAAAAAGGCTGAGCACAGTGGCTCACACTTGTAATCCCAGCACTTTGGGAGGCTGAGGCGAGTGGATCACCTTAGGTCAGGAGTTTGAGACCAGCCTGGCCAACATGGTGAAACCCTGTCTTTACTGAAAATACAGGAAATTAGCCGGGTGTGGTGGTAGGCACCTGAAATCTTAGCTACTTGGGAGGCTGAGGCAGAAGAATTGCTTGGACCCGGGAGGTAGAGGTCGCAGTGAACCAAGATCCTGCCATTGCACTCCAGCCTTGGTGACAGAGCGAGACTCCGTCTCAAAATAAATAAATAAATAAAAAGATGAAATCCTGTCATTTGTGACAACGTGGATGAACCTGGAGGACATTATGTTAAGTGAAATAACCCAGGCATATAGAAGGACAAACACCACATGATTTCACTTATATATGAAATCTAAAACAGCCGAACTCGTAGAAGTAGAGAGCAGAATAGTGGTTATCAGAGGCTGTGGAAGGGAGGAGGGAGGGGAGATGGGGAAAGGGAGATGGGGCTGATCAATGGATACTGTGTTACAGTTAGATAGGAGGAATACCTTCTGGAGTTCTGTTACACAGTAGGGTGACTATAGTTAACAATAATGTATTGTATATTTCAAAATAGCTAGAAGAGAGGATTTTGAATGTTCTCACCACAAAGAAATAATAAGTGTTTGAGCTGGTAGATATACTGATTACCCTGATTTGATCATTACCCAATGTATGCATATATCCAAACATCACACTCTACCCCATAAATATGTGTACCTATTATGTGCCAACTAAAAATAAAACAAAAAAATTGAGTTTCCTATGCCTGTGAGAGAAGCAGATGTATACCTGCTCTTCCCGCTGCCTTGAGCTACCCCTGAAACTGATGGTCCTATCCCACAAAACCTCATAATTCCTTTTCTCAGATAGTTGTACAAGTTTCGTATGTTTAAAGTCATCTCTTACCAGTGGTTTTATGAGCTCAAAGGCAAGTTTGTTTTGAAAACCTTATCTTGTATCCTATTTTTTTTTTTTTTTTTGTTGAGACAGGGTCTCACTCTGTTGCCTAGACTGGAGTGGAGTGGCGCTGCAATCACAACTCACTGCAGCCTCAAAATCCTGGGCTCAGGTGATTCTCCTACCTCAGCCTTCCAAGTAGCTGGGGCTACAGGCAATGCACCACCACACCCACCTAGTTTTTTGTATTTTTTGTAGAGACAGGGTTTCACCGTGTTGCCCAGGCTGGTCTTGAGCTCCTGGACTCAAGAGATCCACCCGCCTGTGCCACCTAAAGTACTGGGATTACAGGTGTGAGCCACTGCACCTAGCTGTCGTGTATCATTTTTGTCTTTCTACTGAGGCTTTACTTTAACATCACAAAATTTGCATTTCTGTAACACTGTTTCTGTGAAAATTCTCAGAGATGAGTGGTAGATTTTCTCCAATATGAATGTACCCTCTACTTCCCTGGTGGGAGATAGTTTCTGGGGCATGGTGAGGGTTCCTGAAAACTTTGCCTTTTTTTTTTTTAAATTTACAAAAGAAGCTGGATAGCTTATGCCAAGAATAAGCAAACTTTCTTTTGGTGGTCGAGTCAAAAGATGGAAAAAGCTCTCACTTTCTCTTTTTATTTTGCTTGTTTTTTCCTCACTGTCTCCAGAATTTTAATCTGGTGTTCCAATATATTTTAACTAAAGAAAATGGCATTCTAGTTTAGTTTCTTTTTTCATTTTTAAAAACTCTGTATTGTTGTTGAACTCCTTGCATGTGCTGTTTACTTTTTATTCATGTATTCTTTATTCCAAACAAATACTTGAGCCCTCACTTTTACCTGGCAACATAAGTTTGTGGAGTTATCTTGGTGACTGAGGCAGATACATCTTCTGCCCAGGCAGGGCTCACCGTCTAGAGGCGCAAAAGACAAGTCACTGATGGTCCAGCACAATGCAGAACCCACAGGGCAGGTGAAATCTCAGAGGATGGATGTGTAGTTCTGACTTGGAGGCCAGAGAAGTCCGTTTGTAGGAAATAACATGTAAACTGAGACCTGAAATATAAGCAGGTGTTAAAGCAGAGCGCTCAGAGTTGGGAAGAAGGTTTCGAGTCAGGGAACAGCACGTGGGAGGGTGTGGGGTGCCTAAAGTCCTTGCAGAAAGAAAACTTAAAACTGCTTTTATTCTCACTCAGCTTCAGAAATCAGATTTCAAAGAAAATCTTGCAATATTTGCCTTCAGTTTAGCTTTACCAACTCAAAACCGGAAAGACAATGCAAGTTCTGGGCATATTTACAAGCACATAATTCTGCCCTTGAAGAGTATTGTCTGGAGGTTAGGCATTGTCTGGAGTTTGCCCAAGGGGCTGTGCTCATTAACATCCCCCTTGAACTGTTCATGGATGCCTGTCTAAGCAAAGAATTCCAGATGGGAAGTAATGTAGAATTCATCTTTACTCTGAAAAAGGCTACTCTTGACACAGGGCAGTGGGCCCTCTGAACTGAGGCACCCAGGAAAGTCAAGAACAGAATGTTTCTGTCTGGAAGTAGCAGCAGCAGCAGCTCGAGGCTGGGCTTTGTGTCCTGGGTTCCTTTGGAATGCTTTAGATGTCAGAACTGACATCTGAATTTTTGAACACTGGTCACCCACTTTTGGTGACAGACAGCTATGGACTAAATCTGATGACCAGTGACCACCCACATGGCAGTGGGTGAGCCTCTTCTGGAATACTGGGGAATAAAAGATTGATCTGTAGTAATGGTGGTGAGCTCTGGTTTTGCCTCTCGTATGGTGAGAAGTGTTCATTTGAGGGATGTGCTCCTGTGAGTTCACACAGAGTTTGATGGGCACTTCTCTCCCCAAAAATACATCATGGGGAAGTAAAAAGCCCTATGATAATTCATAATGACAAAAGTTTTTCATGGCATATCATCAGGAAATCCATACAGTGTGGATTAAAAAGGTAGTTCTCAAAGTATGAACCCTAGAGTGGCAGCAGCAGCAGCACCTGGGAACTTGTTAGAAAGGCAGCCTCTGGGCTCCACTCCAGATCTACCAAATCACACTCTGGGCACAGGGCCCAGCAGCTTGTGTTTTCACAAGTCCTCTAGGTGATTCTGATGTATGCTCAAGTTTGAGAACCACTGGGTAAAGAAGACAAGCTACAGGTAATGATCAAATGAATTTGCTGGTTGTAACTTCCACCCTTTCTCTCCACTCAAGAAAGCATATCGGAATGCCATTGAGTGAGAGTGACATCATTGTGGGGACAGCTATGAATTTGCACACGTTTATTAAAATATGTAAACTATAGGTAACTGGTACTTTAATTTTTATTTATTAATAACATGTGACCAAAGTCACAGCAGTGATACCACAATTAAGTACTGCAGTTCTATTAACCTAACCAGAGCAGTAGTTTTCATTGTTTTTGACCATGCCCTTGCAATACAAAATGCATTTAAATTTCTATCCAGAAGACACATGTAAGTGTGTATAACTAAAACAAATATTTCATGAAATAATATTCTTATTATCATATTTTCTGTACTTTAAAAAATATATATGCTGGTCATAATCCATTAAATTGATTTCATGACTTACTAATGGAAAGTGACCTGTGTTTTGACAAACACAGATGCAACCAGCTGTGTTTGCTTGGATCCTGTCTCTAGACCAGGAGTTGCGGGGGTGGCTGGCCTCACCCTCTGTCAGATAGACTTGGATTTCAGTCTCTGCCTACACTCCTAGCTGTGTGACCTTGGGCCGCTTAATGTGTTCTCTGAGCTTTACTTTCCTATCTGTCAATGTGGATGATGATGATTACCTCACAGCTGTGGTGACGAGTAAATGACAACACATTTCACATAGTGCCTGGCAATGGCGGCTACTACCTTACTTGTGGAAATAGGACTGCTAGCACTAGTTTTCAGAACATCATCAGTTTAATAACTTTTGTAATAACCACCTCACAGGAGTTTTTCACAAGTTTTTTCTATACTGCAGTGCATAAGTGCACCCTACATTCTAGGCATTCAGAAATACTTTTGAATAATACTTTAAAAAATACATCCAAATTCTGTACTCTTTTTCAAAGTATATTCAAGTTTGTTTTGATATAAGATTTAGCACCTCCCATTCCCAATCTTGAGGACACTGAGATTACAGATGATGCCCTATGTGGCTTCACACACCCACAAGATAGCCCCGAGTGGGGCATTTGGGAAATAGAACTTATGATTGTGTTTCTGTGGGAAGATGCTTGTTAGACTTTTCTTGAATACTCATACCTGTTGGTGACTAGGGGCAGCATCTCCATGTATGTAGCTCTGTAAACTGGCATCTCGGATCATCCACAGACCCTGAGCGATAAGCCATGTGGAAGTACCAGGGATACCATAAATCCAGATTTTGGGGAGACCCCGCTAATGTCCACTTGTCTCTCTGGAGGTCATGATTGTGGTTGGCGGCCAGGCACCCAAGGCAATCCGCAGTGTGGAGTGCTATGATTTCGAGGAGGACCGGTGGGATCAGATTGCTGAGCTTCCCTCCAGAAGATGCAGAGCAGGTGAGCAGCCTCCCAGTTCTGCAAGCTGTTTTTTCCCTGCTGGTCCCCACTCTGTGCCAGAAGTCGTGAGCTACTCCTTGTTTCCTCAAGCATCTGTGCATTTCAGGCTCCCTTTCTTTTCCCTCCTGCACAGTTTTTTTTTCTTTTTTTCTTTTCTTTTCTTTTTTTTTTTTTTTTTTTTGTTGTTTTAAGACAGTCTTGCTCTGTCACCCAGGTTGGAGTGCAGCGTCATGATCTTGGCTTACTGCAACCGCCGCCTCCTGGCTTCAAGTGATTCTCTCACCTCAGCCTTCCAAGTAGCTGGGATTACAGGCACACACCACCATGCTTGGCGAATATTTGCATTTTTAGTAGAGACGGGTTTCACCATGTTGGCCAGGCTGGTCTTGAACTCCTGACCTCAGGTGATCCACCCACCTTGGCTTCCCAAAGTACTGGGATTACAGGCATGAGCCACCACGCCCGGCCACTTGCACAGTTTTTGGCTCTTTTGGGATCAGTTCTTACGAGCTTGGGGAGTTAAAGCTGATTCAAGTATTTACTTGAATCAGACAAAATTAGAAAAGCAAGTAGGAAAGAAATCCAGTGAATCCCATGACTGCCAAATATCTAAAGTATCTTCAGTGGTGACTTTTCCTGTGTCTGTCTTGCTCCTCCATTGTCATCCATCAACTTGAGCAGTCATGCGCCTAACCTGACCTTGATGTCTCGGTTTCCTGTGCCTCAGGTGTGGTGTTCATGGCTGGCCACGTGTATGCCGTGGGAGGGTTTAATGGCTCACTGCGGGTGCGGACAGTGGATGTATATGACGGCGTGAAGGACCAGTGGACATCCATTGCCAGCATGCAGGAGCGCCGGAGCACGCTGGGCGCAGCGGTGCTCAATGACTTGCTCTACGCGGTGGGAGGCTTTGATGGCAGTACTGGTAGGTTCAGGGTGTGTTCCTAACCCCTCCTAGCCTGGGACACACCCTCCATGAAACCCTGTTTTATTCAGCCAGTTCTGGACCAACTTTCTGTCCATTTGTAGCTACTGCCCCAGGGAGATACCACCCTTCTGCCTCATCCAGCTTTCAGGGGAAGAGCCAGGCCTTCTTGCACACAGAATATGTAACTGCCCATGTACTAGGCTTTCTAGGACTCAGAAGAGTCCCTTTCCTACTTTTCAGTGTCTGGGAACCTATTTACTCAGAAGATGAGACTTAGAAGGAGAGCATGCTTAGCGGGGGGGTGCCTCAGGCCTCCAGTTTGAATCCTCTGCCAGACAGATGAGGGAGCTGAGTTCAGCATTTGGAAGAAACCTGGCTCAGGTCACGCAGTGGGCCAGGCTGCCCATTTTTTCTGTTGCCCTTTCTACTACCCCACTTGAAGCTTTGCCAGGCTTTTTCACCATAGGTGAGCCTTCTTGCCTCTGGACTCTATCTAGCTTCAAAATTTCAACCCGAAACCATTAGTTGACATAAACTCAGAGAGGTGATCTCATCTCTGCTCATACTGCCAGGTAGGTGTCTCAGTAAACAGTAGCTCTATTAAACTAATATGATATCCTTTGGCCCCCAGGGAGGGGAAAAGCAGTGTTTTTTACTTCTCTGAATTTTTATTTGTGTCTTCATGATTTGGGGATTTTTCTCAGCCTTCTCTTTGCCTCACTCATATAATTCCAGGGCTTTAGCCCCTCTGGAGGCTGCCTTTAGTGAGTGGGGCAAAGAGAACGAAAGGGTAGTGGTGCATTGTTTCTTTTGGAAATTACTTTTGGCTATAAGAAGAGAACCTGATTAAACTGTGCCTTAAAACATGAGGGATTTTGCTTTACTCATGAAACAAGAAGCCTAGAGGTTAGCAGTGGCTGAGTTGGTCCAGTGGCTCATGGACATTGAGACCACATTCTTTAAGATTAGATTTTCTTGGCCTTTTTCTCATGATCATGAGATGGCTGTTATACCTCCAGCCAACACATTTGTGTTCGGGGGGGGTGGTGGCATCTATATCAGAAAAGCAAAGGCCGTTTCTAAAATCCCCATAGACTTCTGCTTAGGTCTCATTGACTTGGTCACTCCTAGCTGCGAGGGAGTCTTGGAAAGCAAGTGTTTAGCTTTCCACTGCTAAGACAGACGAAGCTGGGGGAAAGGGGATTGGAATAGGTGTTCAGTGAGGCTACGTCAAGTGACTACTTGGAATCAAAGTATCTCACTCTGCAGTTTTTATGATCTACGTTTGCCATGCATTTCAGACACACCCCCTGTCCTTTCACAGCCCACTCTCTGGGTCAAGTCTTAATAGTCCCCGCAGGTAGACACTGCAGATGTGTTTGAGGGAGTCGCCACAGGCCGCATGGTGATTCAGAGGTGGCACCGAGCCATACATTTAGGTTTCCAGCCCCTGCATTTGGACTCCTCCCCCATCCTCACTGCTTCTTACACAGCAGGGTGAGGCCTGCTGCCATGGAAGTCTCATGAGTCTCTTGTCTCCCAGGCCTAGCATCGGTGGAAGCCTACAGCTACAAGACCAACGAGTGGTTCTTTGTGGCCCCGATGAACACGCGGCGGAGCAGTGTGGGTGTGGGCGTTGTGGAGGGTAAGGAGGTGCAGTGGCCAGTGGCCAGGCCTATCCGGCCCACAGGCCTTGTCCTGGGTCCAGCATCCTGCTTGGTGCTTCCTCTACCTTGGTTTATTCCTGAGATCACTCCTCTGAGTTAGGTACTATTATCCTGATTCAGCAGACGAGACTCAGAGAGGTGGTGGAGCTCCTGGCTCGTGGTGGAGCTGGGCTGGGGGAGTAGAAGGAGCCCAGAGGGGAAATGCCGGCCTGTGGTTTGGCCCGTTGTCAATAGCTCTGCTGGAGGTTGGGGAGGGGAAGGGAGTAGGGAATCCATAGTCAGCATGTGACCCAGGAGGATAATGTAGTGGAGGGAGAATTAAATGTGTTTAATGAATTTTGTCCTCATACTCATATGTTGAACATTAACAGAACTGTGGGTGAGGTAGGCACGTCTTCTTAGGTCTGATGACTGTCTCTGCAGGGCAGGCTGGTGATCGAGTCCAGCTCTAGTCAGGAAAGCTGTGTAGGGTAAGGCAGGAGGGCGTGGTGAGGTCTCGGGCCTGGTCAGATGGTACACATTCGTTTGTAAAAAAAAAAAAAAAAACAAAACAAAACTCTTACGTCTAGTCTCTCGTTTTGTTTGCAAAACCCTTGTGAAGGAGATAGGCAGGACTCAGATTTTCTCCATCCTCCGGATGCCCCACATTCTAATGACAGTAAATAGCACAGCCTGTCCTTGAACCCAGGTCTTCTGACTCCTAAGCCAGTGCTCTTTCCACTGTGCTATGCCCCTTCAGAATGCTGACAAATGCCAGTAGGTAGGAGTTCTGTAAATATGTGTGAATTCAGTGTACCAAAGCATAGACTATTACTTGAACTAAAATGTTATTTGCAGGACAACACTGGTTCATCAACCTGTGCTAGTGTGAGAATTTAGATGGAATATCTGTTCATTCAGACATGTGTGCAGACATTCCATCTCTCATGTACATACTCAAGAATACACATGCAAACACAAATGTGTCCTGGGGACAGCGTAACATTCAGAGAGTTAGACATTAATAGAAATAATTCTTTTCTCGCACTGTATTTCTCAGTCTGCACTGGTATTGTGTAATTTAAGTTTTCATTTAAAGGTATACTATTCTAACATACTAAATAAGTCATCTTTGTGAGGGCAAGGATTTTTGTCCTCCTTCCAAGGTAAATTGTGTCTTGCAATCTCATTCTCTTGGTGGAACAGAAATTGATTTGTCTGCCAAGTATAAGTGCTTTGTCTAGCCACCTTCTCATTTCTTCTCTTGTTCCTTAGCCAGGAATATCAAACAATAGAGTAGGGGTTAAAAATAGCAAATCCCTGTTAATAGACTGAAGGAGCAACCTTGAGTGCGTATTTTTTCAGCTGATGCAGATGGAATGGTTGATGGGGGTTAGAGGAGGTGCCATAATGGTGGTAATTTAAAATACTCCCCTTGACAAAGGCTTTTGTGAGCATGTTCTGTATGTGGAAGAAGTGCTGTCTTGTAGCACGCCCTGTTGACATGGAAGACAGGCTGGGAATTTGTTTCTTCTGCCCCTCCTGAATCTGAAGCTCTTTCGGCTGTGGGCACCCTGGGGCAGCAGAGTCCAATTTACAGCTGTGGTGAGAATGTTGAGGGAGGAACTTAAGTGGACTCTGCTTCACTGTGGCCTTGAAGAGACAGCTCTCTGCACTGTCTGGCTTCCTCTCCTCCCTCTCATCATCTCATTACCATGGCTATACAGTTTGAATGACACTGAAAAAAAAATGGAGGAAATCACAATAATTTGCTACTGGCTGCCTCGAAGAATAGCTATTTAGGAAAAGACTGTGTGGATCAGAGTATAGGCAGAAGCTCCCCAAGAGAGCGGAGAGTGTGCTATGGAGATTGTCGCATCTGAAGCAGCACACACCGTACAAGTAGCCTGGACCATAGAAGAGCTGCTTAGTCAGGTTTTTAAAAAATTTTCACTCCGGTGCGTGCAGAACTGAGGAGGGTGTGTTTCTTTCTTCTAGATGGGTCAATTGAGAGGACCCTGGGGCAGAAAATAAAGCCAGGCTCGATGATGATAGAAGAAAAACATTTTTACATTTGATAATACAGCAGTAGTTCTGGTAGCAGAGTATAGGTTTGAGCCTGAGAATCTTTCTAACTTAAAATAATTGCGGATTTTAAAATACTAGTAGTATTCTTGGTGTCTATCCATCAAGAAAGCACATATGACCAAAAAATCTACCAAGTAATCCTGTTAAATGGATTTGCATTTGGCGATGTTTATTTAGTCTGCAACTAGTGTGACTCCTCCCTCTGTTCCCACAGAAGAGACCATCCCATTGCATTTTAAGACTAAATTTTAAACCCAAAATGTTTGAATTTCTGCTTTGGGATAGCTCAGATGCCAAATGTTTCCTCCTGTGTCCAGCCTCACTGTCAGCTCTCAGCCCCAGGCGGAAATGATACTCTTGGGTAGCAGCTTAATGGTATTTTAATTTAAAAGTAGATGACGGCACCTCAGGGCTCTTGTGTATGGCTCAGAGATCACAGGGTAGTCTGCAGAAAAATTCCAGCCACCCTGGCCCACAATGTACAAAGAACACTCCATTCACACACTGTACCTGCCAGGGTTGTGGAAGGGGTAGAGACAATGGCTAAGACAGGTTTTGGGTTCTCATTGAAGAAGATTTTTCCATATTTATTTCATCTGCTATTTCAAACCTTGAGCCAGAAAGGTGGTCTGCGTGCGTATAGCTGGGGGCCTTCTAGCTTTCCATCTATCCAGTGCTGGTGTCTTGTTCTAGAGAAAATTTAACCTAATTCACCAGCAAGATTATGTTGAGTCCCAGTAGTGCCAGGCCATAGCTTTGGGCTGGGTATTTGGGGGTACTTATTTAGAATGTTCAGTGTTTGCTTCTAAGGAGCTCATGGCTTAAGAGCAAGTAGAATATGTGAAGAAATGTGAAGGATGCTTTGCTTGGTTGAGGAGTAAGTTGGTGGTCCCCTGGAGAAAGAGGAAACAGAATTCTGAGGTAAGGGTGCCCCAGTTGGTTGCAGATAGGGTTTTAGCTGAGCTCTGGTTTCATGCCAGTGTCCCTGGCACCACACTCAGCCACTTTGTCTGTTGCAGGGAAGCTATATGCTGTTGGGGGTTATGATGGAGCTTCCCGCCAGTGTCTGAGCACTGTGGAGCAGTACAACCCAGCGACCAATGAGTGGACATACGTGGCGGACATGAGCACCCGTCGCAGTGGCGCAGGTATGGGAGAACCTCGGGATGCTGGCTATGTGTGATTTGCTCACAAGTGGGTCTTTACATTTTTTTGTTTGTTTGTTTCATTTTAGATTCAGAGGGTACATGTGCAGGTTTGTTACATGGATATACTGCGTAACAGTCGGGTTTGGGCTTCTAGTGTACCCATCACCCAAATAGTGACCATTGTACCTAATGGGTAATTTTTCAACCTTCACCCTCCTTCCAGCCTCATCCCTTTTGGAATCCCCAGTGTCTATTGTTCTCATCTTTATGTCCATGTATACCCATTATTTAGCCTGTACATGTAAGTGAGAAGATACGGTATTTGATTTTCTGTTTCTGGGTTATCTCACTTAGGATTATGGCTTCCAGCTCCATCCATGTTGCTGCAAAGGACATAATTTCACCCTTTATTTGGCTGCATAAGATTCCATGGTGTATACATACTGTATTTTCTTTAATCAGCCATTGATGGATACTTAGATTGGTTATATGACTTTGCTGTTGTCAATAGTGCTGCTTTAAACGTAATGACTGTACATGTCTTTTTAGTATAATGATTTCTTTTCCTTTGCGTAGATACCCAGTAGTGGGATTGCTGGGTCAAATGGTAGTTATACTTTGAGTTCTTTGAGAAATCCCCATACTGTTTTTCCATAGAGGTTGTATTAATTTATATTTCCACAATAGTGTATAAGCATACCCTTTTCTCTGCAACCATGCTAATGTCTTTTTTTTTTTTTTTTTGAGATGGAGTCTCACTCTGTTGCCCAGGCTGGAGTGCAGTGGCGCCATCTTGGCTCACTGCAAGCTCTGCCTCCCTGCAAACTCCGCCTCCTGGGTTCACACCATTCTTCTGCCTCAGCCTCCTGAGTAGCAGGGACTACAGGCACCCACCACCATGCCCAGCTAATTTTTTGTATTTGTAGTAGAGATGGGGTTTCACTGTGTTAGCCAGGATGGTCTCGATCTCCTGACCTCGTGATCCATCTGCCTCAGCCTCCCAAAGTGCTGGGATTGCAGGTGTGAGCCACTGCACCCAGCCTTTTTTGACTTTTTAATAATAGCCATCTGACAAGTATAAGATGATATCTCATTGTGGCTTTAATCTTCCTTTTTCTGATGATAATCATCAGATGTTAAGCAGTTTTTCATATGATTATTGGCCACTGGAGTGCCTTATTTTGAGAAATGTCTGTATGTATATCCTTTGCCTGCTTATTAATGGGGTTGTTTTTTCCTTGTTGAGTTGTTGGAGTTCCTTGTATATTCTGGACGTTAGTCCTTTGTTGGGGGCATAATTTGCAAATATTTTCTCCCATTCTGTAGGTTGACTGTTTACTCTGTTGATCATTTCTTATGCTGTGCAGAAGCCTTTTTTGTTTGTTTGTTTAATTAAATTCCATTTGTCTATTTTTGTTTTTGTTGCACTTGCTGTTGGCATCTTAGTCATAAATTCTTTGCCTAGGCCAATGCCCTGAAGAGTTTTTCCTAGGTTTTCTTCTAGGACTTTTATAGTTTCAGGTCTTACATTTAAGTCTTTAATCCATCTTCAGTTAATTTTTGTATATGGTAAGAGACAGAGGTCTAGTTTCATTCTTGTGTATGTGGCTAGCCACATACAGCACCATTTATTGAATAGAGTGTCTTTTCCCTATTGTTTTATTTTTGTCAACTTTTTTGAAGATCAGCTTGTTTTAAGTATGTGGCTTTGTTTCGGGGTTCTCTGTTCTGTTCCATTGATCTCTGTGTCTATTTTTGTACCAGTACCATGCTGTTTTAGTTACTATAGCCTTGTAATATAATTTGAAGTCAGGTAATGTGATACTTCTGGCTTTGTTCTTTTTGGTTAAGATTGGCTTTGGCTATTCGGGCTCTTTTTTGGTTCTATATAAACTTTAGGATTGTTTATTCTAATTCTATGAAGAATGATGTTGATAGTTTGATAGGAATTATGTTGAATCTGTAGATTCCTTCAGGGAATATGGTCATTTTAATGACATTGATTCTTCCAATACATGAGTATGGGATGTTTTTCCATTTGTTTGTGTAATCTGTGATTTCTTTAGTCAGTCACAAGTGGGTATTGGTTCAACAACCTAACATTTTATTTTAACTCCTCCTTCTTTCGTTTTGCTGTATATAATCCCACTAGCACCTTTGCAGCTAGACACAGCACTTATAAGTTAACCTTTCCTGGGGGATCACTAGAGAATGGATGAGATAATACGCTCCTCATCATCGCTTATGTTTCTATGAAGGTGTTTACATCTTTTGAAAGTGAAGGCTTACTATGTGCCAGGCACTGTCCTAACAAATACTTTTTATGCCTCAATCCATTTAATCCTCACTACAGCCCTACAATGTGGATACAATATGAATTCCACTTATCAGATTTAGAAAGGAAGGCTGCCAGTGGTTGAGTAATTTGCCCAAGGTCATATAATTAGTAATGCTGACTCCAGAGTTAGTTTTTTAAATCCCTAAATTATCAGTCTTATCCCTCTGAAGTAGTAGGACAAGTCTTCAGTTGACAAAGCTGAGCTTGCCTGTCTGGGAATGAAAGCCAAGCTATTAGTGTTCATGTTTGGAGATAACTTATGTCCCCTACTCCCACTTTTCCTCACTTCAATGCATTCCCCAACATGGGAAGAAAATGACTTTCCAAAAGGTTTCCACTTCTACTTCTTGTCAGAAAACCAGAAGCTCTATGGTCCTTTGGGATTTTTCAGGAAGCGGAGCAACAACCCCTTCTCCCCTGCTTTGTCTTCCCATCCATTGTCTTAGAGGCCCAAAGGGAAGGGCCTGAGGGCAGACAGAGGCATCAGTCCACTGGCTCTTTATTGCTGGTTCCTGTGGTCAGTGGTGACTGATTACCAATCTGATCCTGGCGGGAAGGCTGTGTGACTTCTGAGAAGGGTAGCCACATTCCCACAATGTTATTCCTTTCTCTCTCTCTCTCTCTCTTTCTTTTTTTTTTTGTGTATTTTTGGAGATTGAGTTGTGATCTCATTTTATAGTACCAAACATATGACCACTTCCTCAGCATTCTTTAAAAAGTATGCTATTTTAATATTTTTAAAGAGCCTTTGTGTGCTCACTGGTTTCGAAAATAAAATCTGCATGATGCCGTTTAAGAAGTGTTTGTGTTTGGAGTGCTATTTTTCGGGAATTTTTGTCTCTGCTGATTCTGACAGGTTGGCCCTTCCTGAATGTGGAGCCATTGCCTGGAAGTCAGGAGGCCCGGGACTTGGTGCTGGGTCTGCTCTCATTTGCCATATGACCTTCCTTGGGCAAATCCCTTCCCTTATTCTGTCCTCTAATTCCTTATATGTGAAATGAGTGGGTTGTAGGGTTGTAGTAGATGTTCCCTAAGAACCAAGTCAATCCACAAATCCCATGATTCTTTTCCTGTCGTAAACCTCTTTCGGAAATTTTGGTTTCTAAAGTTTTGGTAGAGTCTTCTTCGTACTCCCTAGAAATCCTCTGTTGTGACGTAAAGGGTGAGAGCTCAGCATGCCTGGGGCAGCACACCCTGAGATGCGTGACCGCTCCTAGGGCCGAAAGCCTGGGGAGGCAGCCGGGCGTGAAGCCGCCAGGGCAGACCTGCGTTAGGAAGCTCAGGCTTGTCTCTGTGGAGGGAGCCGCCTTTGGAGACTACAGCTGCTTTGTCTCTGCCAAGCTGCTGAAATGGTTATTGCTGGGTGGACATCACCTGGCCCTATTCCTGTCTCTTACCTACACTGGAGGACCTGGAGGGTGACATGTCTGTTGCCTGGGAGTGCAGTGTCCCTGGGAGGCACACTGACCTTGATTTAGGAAATCAAAACCAAGCCTTTTTCCTGAGGTTACTGTCAGAGCCCTGGCCTCCGACTCCCAGGTCAGCCTTTCTTCAGTGCTTCACTTTCGTGAGATTTGGGCAAGTCTCACCTCTGGAGTTGAGAACCCACATACTTATCAAGGTGGGTGTTCTTGTTGGCTGAAGACCCAGAGACCAGAGGCCCTGGCCTTTGGCTGCCTGAGGCCCTTTGAGGTGCCAGGAGCGCCTGTGGCTCTAGGTCCAGGACGCCGCTGCATGAATGTTTATGGATGAGGCTGCACTAGGGCAGAGGCAGAGTTGCCTGAGTGCCTGGAAGGCAGCTCGCTTCCTCAGCAGGGTGTGGGCAATGCTACCAGATGGTTAGGGGAAAAAGAGGCCATCTCTCAGGGAATGCGTGTTCCTGCTGAGCATGGAGGAAAGGAAGGTGAGGCAGCTTTGGAACTCAACTAATTGTATTAAACCTGTCAGTTAGAGAGAGCCATTGTTGATACGACAGCGCCATCTGCTGTTAGTTTAGAGCAACTGCTGGGAGCCACTAGCATACCCACATAATTGCTGGGAGGGATTTTATTAATTTATATTTTTGTCATTCAAGCAATATTTCTTGAGAACCTACTGCCGTGGGGCACAGGGAAGCAGACGAGGACAAGGTAAAAACAGTCCTCATCCATATGGAGTTATAGTCTACAAGTCTGGTTCTTGGGTCTGAAACCTGGCTGCACATCCCAGGCACCTGAGGAACTTTTTCTGACTCCTGACCAGTGTGGAATCTATCTTGTAAAAAGCTTCCCAGTCCATTGAGATGCAGCCTGCCCACGGAGTGGAGTAGTCTGTGGTCCATGGGAACTACTGATCTAGTACAACTCTTTCCCTTTACAAATAGGGAAACTGAGGCCCAGAAAGGGGAAGGGTCACCCAGTGAGCAAGTCAGAGAGGCAAGTCCGGAACACAGGTGTCCTAGCTACCAGGTCAGTTGCACTTTCTAGATACTGTGCTGTCTTCCCTCTTTATGGCGTTCATCTTCTTGTTGTATAAAAGGATTTTAAAAGATTATACTAAAACTTGTAAACGAAGCAATTCTAGCACTCAACGCAGGCCGATCAACATGGTTAGTGATCTAATAATGCCCTCTGCAGTACAGGAGGAGAGAAGTGGGCAGAAAGGTCAGCTTCTGCTTACATGACCAGCAGGGAGGCCTCCTTAATAATAATTTCAGCACTTTTGCTGTGTCGCTAGTTTCAATTTTTAACTCTTTTTAATCAACTAATATAAGGATGAGTAAGTAATACAACATTGTAGGAAAACTAGGCAATATAGATAGGCAAAAAAGGAAAATGAATGTAATTTACCACTCAGAAATAATTATTCTTAATATTTTAATGGATTTCTTTCAGTATTTTTTGTCCTTTTTTCTTTGCTTATGAACATCGTCCCCTGTATGTATATATGTATGTATATATTTATGTTTTTTCAAAACAGAATTTGGGTCACATTTGCTTTATACTTCAAAGTTTTGAGGTTGCGAGTCTTATGAGGAGGCGGGTAGGGTGTCATTATATTTGTTTTACAGATGAGGACACTGAGGTCCAGGGAGACAAACTGGCACTCCCCAAGTCCCCTCGCTGGTCAGGGCTGTCCAGGACTGGACCCCAGGCCTCCTGATTTCTGGTTACTGTAGCCAGCCTGAGGCTGGGACACTGTGCTCTGCCTTTCAGGGGTTGGAGTGCTTAGCGGACAGCTGTACGCCACAGGTGGGCATGATGGGCCTTTGGTGAGGAAGAGCGTTGAGGTTTACGATCCTGGAACAAATACCTGGAAGCAAGTGGCAGACATGAACATGTGCCGGCGCAATGCAGGTAATGACTGCTCTCTCCATCTCCCCTTTGGGGGTCGTGTGCCTTTTCTCCCTGAAGACACTGGCTGTAAACATCAGGGAGATTCCCAGGGTCTGGAGCTGAGTGTATATCCTGAACAGGGAGTGTCCATTTTCCCGGTGGGCTCTTGGTTAGAGGAGGGGAGAAATTGAGACCCCGAAAGCTAGCTGCAGATCCTGCAACCTAGATGCAGAGGATCCCCTTCCTCCCCACTGAAGGGTGATGACTTTTACCACACACGGATGAGCACAGACCTGGAAAAGTCCTTTGGTTGCTGTCAGTACCCCTTGCCTGACAGCTTTGTAGGTAGCTAAGCTCAGGGCTCTGTGGACAAGGGCCAGAAAATGGCACTTGGTTCTATCTGTTCTTTGCCAGTGCCTGGCTGGGAGAACCTCTCATTTCCTACTTGAAACCAGTATCCTTCCTTGCAGGGACAGTTGGACCCTTGATCAGTTCTCCTTTCCTAATTGCTTTCTTTGTATTCCTGTCTCTCCTTTCCTTCTTGTCTCCTATGCCTTCCTGTAGGAATGATTTACTGTAGAGTATTTAGGTTTATATTTCCTGGAGCATGAGGCCCCTTTTAAGCTATTTCCTTTTTGAGCTTTGCCTTGTGGGTTATGTACTGTGTCAGTATACCTTTATGCCTCTTTGCTCTAGGACAGTGTTGGCTTAGCCCAACTTCCCAGGCTGGAAAGACACACAGGTGACTTTCAGGCAGATCCATTTTCATTATTCTCATATTACCTGTTTGCTAAGCCCATTCGTGTCTGACTTGGAAGTGTAAACAGGGGCTGAGGGGATGTTTATTAATTTACTCGTTGCCTAAGCCTGCTGTGATAGAAGTTCTCATTTGGCTTGAAGCCACATGAGCAAAGAATTACAGGACCCTTAAGGCAGCTAGTCTATCTAGAACCTGGGAATTCAGTTTAGATGTAAATGTGTGTTTGCATAAAATTCATGCATAGATATTTCTATTTTTTAATAACAAAAATGGAATTACACTATAATACTATTTTGTAACCTGTTTTTTTTTTTTTAAAAAAAATCACTTTACAATCTCTCATGAATATCTTATTGCAACACTAAACTTACTTATATGATATTATTTTAAATGACTATATCATAATTTAAACAATCTACTATTGGACACAGGTTATTTCCATCTTTTCTATACTGTAAGTAATACTTTAGTTATTATAAATGGTCTTTATAGCTAAATCAGTGCACACATTTAAAATTCTTTCTTTAGAATAAAAGGCCAGAAATAGATTTTTTTTTTTTTTTTTGAGACAGGGTCTCGCTCTCTCAGGCTAGATTGCAGTGGCATAATCTTGGCTGTGCAACTCTGCCTCCTGGGCTCAAGAGATCCTCCCACCTCAGCCTTCTGAGTAGTTGGGACCACAGGTATGTGCCATCACATCTGGCTAATGTTTGTATTTTTTGTAGAGACAGGGTTTCACCATGTTGCCCAGGTTGGTCTTGAACTCCTGGGCTGAAGTGATCCATCTGCCTTGGCCTCCCAAAGTGCTGGGATTACAGGTGTGAGCCACTGTGCCTGGCCAGAAGTGGACTTTTTTAATTAGAGGGAGCACATGTATTTTAGATGCCATCCAGGAAGGTGTCCATTTTATCGTCTCACCAGTATTTGAGAGTACCTTCAGCAACACTGGTAATTGCTGCTTTTTGGAGTATCACCAATCCCTTAATCTAATTTTGAAAAACACACAACATATTGGACTATGGCCTTTGAAAGTCTTAATGAGCAATAATTAATTACATTTTCGTACGCCTTAGACCCTGCTGCATGAGACCTTGCCCAAAACCCTTCTCACTCTGAGATCAGGGTGGGAGCTGTTCCTCATCCCTGGGAGCTGTGTGTGAATGTAGACCCCAGTCTTGTAAAGGGATTACAGACATAACCATCAGCATCACACAGTGTGGATACACTATAGGGCTTATCTGGGAAAAACTTAGCAGCAGAGAAGTAGTAGCATGCATGAAGTCCCCTGAATTGTTTTATTCTCTAGCTCAGGCCTGGCACAGGAGGTCTGTGTACACCTTTCCAGTAGAGAGGGGTCTGTGCCCATATGCTCTACATACTGATAGTGTAGGTATGTGTGTGGCGGAGGGCATACACTTTATAAGTAATCAGACACCCTGGTCGGGGAAATGATCTTGTTAGGAAGAAGGATCCTTGGAGCCCAGTGGCTGTTGTCAATATTTTCTTCCACTTAGCAAACTCAAACCTCCGGAGCCAAACCTCCGTTGTATTACCATGAAGGGAGGAAAAGAGCCTCCCAGGCTCTCCGGATTTGTCTCTTGATCAATTCTGATCTCTTGGTGCGCCTGCTGTGATGTCTCCTATGGCTTTTGTTTGACTCCCAGGGGTCTGTGCAGTGAATGGGCTCCTGTATGTGGTTGGAGGGGATGATGGGTCCTGCAACTTGGCTTCGGTGGAGTACTACAATCCTGTCACTGACAAATGGACACTGCTTCCAACCAACATGAGCACGGGGCGGAGCTATGCAGGTCAGTGTGTGCCATCTCCATGCCCATCCCAGAGGCCTCCAACACACTGGGGGAATGAGGAGTGGGTGGGCCGGTGGGATGAGGGGATGTGAGCTTGCTTAACTTGGGCCTGAGTGCCTCCTCCAGGGATGACAGGTAATTGTTACATGGCCACCACTCTTTCATTCTGAGCTCATGACAGATACTGATAATTAGCACTTATTACCCCCTGCCCCTGCCCTGACCCTGTGAACCTGAAGGTAGCCTCAGAATTTATAACGTTTGTTCCATCGAGCCACTCCAACTGAACTGAGTTGTCACAAGAGATTTTAGAATTTCATTGCCATTCCTGGTTTACTTTGTGCCAGGCTCCTAGATGGCATAAGATGCAATTCTTGCTGTCCAGAGTTGAATTGGACAACTGGGAAGACAAGATGATGAATATACAAGTTCTAAATGACATACACTAGACAGGCTTTAGCACATGAGAGACTGGTGAGAACTGGCAAAGCCAGGGAACCCTTCCTGGAGGAGACAGGCTCAATTACACTTTGAGGCTGGATCACAATCACACAAATGGCTGTCCTTTACTGGGTGGCTGGCCCCGTGCCATGGGGCAGTGTGTTAGGAACAGAGTGTGCATTTGTTTTCATCTTTTCAGCAACTCTTGGGCTGAATGGGACTGTATCCATTTATTTTATGGATGATGAAACTGAGGTTTGGAGAGTTTAAGTAACTTGCTGAAGGCCACACAGCTAATAAATGGCAAAGTCAGTTCAAACCCAGAGTTCTAAGTCCATGCCCTTTGTGCTACCCCAGCTCAGGGTAAGCCTTAGAGTAAGGCACCAGGCGGGTGTGGAAGCTTCTTCTTGGGGAGTGTGTGTGAGGGGTTTGGTGAGTGGCAGGGGCAGGGGTGGCGTCAGAGTTGGTGTTTCTCTCTATGGGGAGATGAGCAAATATATATCCATAGTGTAGTTCAGTTCCTTGTATCTGGTTTTCCAGAATCTGGAATAGAGATAACATTATTTATCCAGCACACACAGAACATACCAGGCATTATCCAAAGTATTTGATAGTCATTATCTCTTTTAATCCATACCACAACTCCAGGGATATTCTTCCAATTCCCATTTTGCGTTATAAAGGTCAGTCATTCCATCTAGTTTGACTGCAGAGGAAGATTGTGCTGTGCAGATTTGAAGGAGTTTGCAGCACAGTCTTTCAACGTAAGACTTCTGTTGCAATGGACTTTAACTTTTTTCTTCCTTTAGAGTTTTTTTCACCTTGTAATGCTTTTCTTGGCTAAGTATAAAACATTTTAGAAGAAGTTTGGTCCTGGAGTAATTCTGTTCTGGGATGAGTGAGACAAGTGAGGATCTTCCCTTGACTCTGTGCGTGCCTTAATGAGAGGGGAAGAGTTAAGTGTGGGTGGTTAGAATTTCATATATATGCTGAATATTTCATGTACCTTTCTTCATTGTCTGCCCTCTCCAGAAGTAGGTAGGAAGCAGACAAGCAAACCTGCAATTTTATGTTCAAACCCACTTACTGAGTCTATTATCTTAAAGTCTAAGGAAATGTTCCAAAATGCAAAGATTTGTGGACAGTTATTTATTGGGGCCTTATTCATGATAGGAAAAAACTGAGAATAACTTAATGTCTGACATGAGGGAAATAGTTAATAATCTATGGGATATTTATATAGTGTATGATTTTTAATGTTATGAGAAAACATTTGTAATAGCCTGTTAGGTTAAAAAAGGATGCAAAGTTGTATGAACCTTGTGAACTCACACATGTAGTCCTGTATTGCTGGTAGCGGGAGTGGGGGTTGAATAGCTGCTGCTTCTTCTGCAGATGGATATTGGAGTCAGATGTGAATTTGAATCCCAGCTCTGCCACTAGCCCTGAGTCTCTGGGCCAGATATCCTATCATGCTGAACCCCTGTTGTCTTATTTGTAAAATGGGAATAAAATTAGACTAAGCCTTTTAGGGTGTTGTGAGAATGAAATGCAGTAATACTTGTGAAGAGCTAAGCACAATGCCTGCCTGGCAGTAGACACCGTGCAGTAAATGATTGTAATTATTAGTAGATGCTAGAAAGTATTCCAAAAAGACAGTGGTGGTTTTCTTTGTGTGAAGGGATTAAAGCTTTTTTCTTTGTGTTCTGCATTTTCCAGATTTCCCATAATGAGAATATATTACTTTTATAATCAAGATAAAGGTTATATGAAAAAGCAACACAGGAGCCTGCTTTCAAAAACAAAAAGCTACCTTCTGAAAGAGATGTCTGAGATTCAAGTAAGATGCTGTCAAGACCAGGCACCTGGACTCAGGTTCTGCCTGCCTCGAAGCTTCAATGTCTGCACCTTTAGCCAGGAATAAACAGGAAATAGATGTCTTAGCAGAATATCTCCAGTGGGGTATCCTGGCTTGCTTTTAGCCATGTTCTGTCAATCTCATCTTCAACCAGAACATTTTATAGTTGTGGGACTATGTTAAAATAAGGCTCCAGTAACCATCCTGCCTGGAGACACCTATAAGTTAGGATTTCGTTTAGCAGCAGGCACCAGAAACCCTGACAGATACTTTCCTAAATAAGGAAGTGAGTGTATTTGTCTCAAGTAGAAAGAAATCCAAGGTTGGCCTGGGGGCTCAGACTGACATTGAAGAACCAGGTTTCTCTTCTCTTTTCTGTTCTGCCAGCTTTATCAAGGGCTGCTGCCTCCCCTTGGCCTTGCGTGAGCATTCCAGTCACAACAAGAACAAAGCCAGCGTTGCAACACTGGCACACTTGCCTTTATAGTCTTATTGGCCAGCACTGGGTCACATGGCACATCTAACTGCCAGGCAGTCTGGGAACCCGAGCTTTCAACTTGCTGGTGGCTGTAGTCAAGGACAGCAAGTTGGAAGGATGTTGACGGAATCAACCTGTACTATCTGATATGTAGCCTCAGTCCCTTACAGTGAGGTTCTGGGTCATGCGTGGATTTATAGTTAGGTGTTGAGCGTGGTTCACCCGGACTAAAACAGTAACACAGCGTACATGTCTAGAGCATTTATCAAAGTCGAGATTGTCACATTGGCAGGGTCTGTTAGATGACATTCATGTAGGAACTGAGCATAAAGAGGTCAAAGAACTTGCCAAAGGCCATAGTGCAGGTTGACTGGTGGCAGAGTTAGGATTGGAATTCAGTCTTTCTTGCTCCCATGAAGGCAGCCTACTATACTTTCCACTTCATTCCAGTGTCTTCTAAAAGTAGAGATGAATCACCCATCGCTTCTCTTACAATGATTCAAATTTAGAGCTGCATAGCTGCCCCTGGGCACTGAGCATTGTTGGGCTGGGTGCTAGGGCTGGGGACGGGAGTCACCACAGTGAGTCCATGTGATGACACCCGGTGAGGCCACTAGCCAGCGGTGTTTGAGGGACTGTGCTCGTAGGTTCAAGTGTCTTGCCAGGACTTGGCTCTTGGAGTGGGGAGCGGCCAGCTGCTAGCAGCCTGAGTCTACAGACACTTCGATATTAGGATAAAAATTGTACACGTTTCTCTTGGCTGTGACTCAGGATATCTTGGATTCATGAACTCACTGGGACTCTGAGTAATTTTGGAGAAGCTAAGATGATAACTTTCTCCCCCTTTCTTATTAGGTGTTGCCGTGATTCACAAGTCCTTGTGACCCAAAATCCCACTGCCAGGAGGTGGAGGAAGGAGCAGGTGCTGCCTGTGACTCTAAACAGCAGGACCTTGGTGACTGGATTCAACTCCCTTGGGAGGGTCTGTGCTGCTGTGAGAACTGCTGTCCTCTGACTTGGCAGACTGGTGTTGTTCATCGCAGTGTGGACACCATTACCCACCCCCGCTCCCCTGAGGTGCTCTGGCCTATGCCCTGAGCAATGGGATCCTGACAGCCCCAGGCAGCACCTTTGGGCTTTGTTTTGGTGTTTCTACAGGGACCATACAGACCCTGAAATGTGTGTGTGTGTGTAGAACATGGTGTTTCTCTAAGTTGGGGGGTGAGCGTGTGTGACAGTCTACTGGATTTCTTTACTACTGATCCTTTCGCTGTGTTAAAAATCAAATCACAGAGACCTCTCTTCTGGATTTGTCCCATGGGGACCCTGAGACTACTAAAGCTGCTTTCTTCCGAAGGTCCAGTTGGACAGTCTGGGAATGTCCAGAAATAACCAGTGAGGGGGCAGTTCCCTGGCCACACCCACTTATGTACTTTAACTACTGTGATTTTGTCTGCAGAAGAGCTAGAGAATTTTCAAAGCTGCACCGTGTCCTCTGTGTGCTAGAATAAGGGACAAATGGGTTCCCTGCGCTTCTCAGCCCACTGTTTTTCCTTGAGTTCTCCTACAGGAAGCAGATGAGAACTGCTCAGTCTTCAGGTTTAGGCCATTGGTCTTTGATGTCATAGATTCCAGGCCTGGGAGATATTATGTCTCTTCAGCTGGGAAAACTAGCTCTTCAGAGAAGCCTCGGGTAACACTGAAAAAAAAAAACAAAAACAAAAACCAGGAAAAAAACAAAAAACCAAAAACCAAAGTGGTAAGGATTCAGTTCCTGCCTGTAATGGTCTCAGAGAGGGTCCTACTTTTAGGTTCTCCCAGGATGGGACAGTCCCCATTTATACTTAATATCCGGGTTTAATTATTCACAGCACCCCGTTTTACTCTCTTAAGTGTTCTGGTTTGGAGGATAAATAAGAGGCCACCCTCCTCCAAATGCAAATATAGATTTGTGCCTGTGTTGGATGGAGTCGTGTGTGATTCAGATGGACGTTGGATGGCTTCAAAGGAATATACCACTAGAGCTGGCCCTTGGTGCTTTGTGACAGTGGTCAAGTCTGTCTAATGTCCTTGTCTTCTTTTTCTTGTGCTTTTCCCCATTCCAGGGTGTGCACCCTCTCCCCAAGCCCCAAGAACCTCACTACTGCTTTCCCTGTGAGGTAGGAGGTGTCAGTGGGCCCTGGGTTTGAGGCCTCCTGAGGTGTGCTTGCGTTTTAAAAAGGGAGCTTGGGAAGAGCTTTGCTAATTCACAGGTAAAAATGATTAATGATAGAGCTTCAAGCATCTTGAGGAGTGGGCATTTGAGGGTGCATGGAGTAATTTGTCTTTAAAAAACTTTAAAGTTGTGCTGTTCGTAAACTAGCAAATTGCTCATGCTGGAATTTCTGGCATAAGCAGGGGAAGTCTTGTGTCTGGAGAAGAGTCTCATACCTTGCAGTCTGGGACACTCCCTACTTTGAGAATCCACCTACAGGAAGCCAAGGAACTTTATAAATCCTGATGTTGGACTTCTGATACGACTGGGCTACTTCCAAGCAGGTGCTGCAGGAGATTGGCATCCCCCAACCCCTGCAGTCAGAAACCCCGAAGTCTTCCCCACCAGTGGGCCGCTTTGTGTATTTACTGTATATTTATTGTGCCCTAAATGTGCAACTCTCCTAAAGACAAAACTTCTCTTTCTGATGTTAAGCACATGTTTCTTCAACAAGACGCTTGGAGAACAACAAAGTACCCAGAAGTTGTAGAAGCCTTCAGAAGAGGCTAAAATATCCAGCTTTGGGGGACCTGGAAGAAATGTCTCCAAAGGAAGCAAGGCATGTTTTAGTTGAGTACTGTGGTCTCACTATGAAGTGGGGATGACGGTGGCTTCAGAACTCTACCTGGCTGTGGGTTGGAAGCTGATGGAATGAGAAATGTCCTTTCTCCTTCTCTGAGGAAATTTTGAGTCTTGTTTTGGTGTGTCTGTGTAATGGGGATGGGGTTGGGGTTGGGATCTGATGTATGCCGTCCACAGAAGCTCTCAATTTCAGATGACAGGTGAATTCCGCGTCCCTCTCCCACCATTGAGAAGCTAGACTTTCGTGCTGGAGAGGCTATTTTTTATGTGTCATCTTCCAGGGAAGGGTCCCTCCACTGAAAGCTAGTCAGTCATGTTTTCTGTTTTTGGATTTTTGCAATTGGTTTCGCCTCATGTCTCCCTCCCTACAAAGCACTGCCTCTGCTGGGCGTGCTGGCGAGGCTGTGTCTATTTCACCCTCGTGTGTCCTTTCTCACGGGGACCAGAACACTGGTATGTCATCACCAAAGCCAATCTGCTCCAGCTGCCCACAGATGCCACCAAAACCTGCTATCTCTTCATTACCAGGTAGGATTCTCTTTCCCCAATGGACACAGCAGGCTATTTTCGAGTTTGTGCTGGTCACATGGTAGATGAAGCCTCTTACTGCCCCACTTAGGGTGGCCACGGCTGCTTGTGAATGCAGCTTTGCCAGTGGCGTATCTGTCATCTGACTGAGGTGGTGAAATGGAATTGAGGCCCAAGGTTAGAAGCAGCCGAGACGCCACTTGGATACTGATTTGAACAATGTAGAAGTCAGATTCTGAATTCCAAAGTTATTTCTCATAAGTACCCAATGGCATCTCTCCATCTACAAAGTTGCAGTATTATGCAAATGAAAGTGACCTCATTTTCTGCTATGCAATAAGAGTACTTAATTCTATTTCCTGACAAGCCAGTTGCAATATCCCCTAAGATGCTTTTTGAGCTGTCTTACTTTGATATCTGTTGTGTAATGTTTGTATATTTCTGAGCCAGATCCTTTCAAAGATTGCCTTTTTATAAAATTGAAGCTGTAGCTTTTAGGCTAAAATTTTAATGTAGATATTTTTATAAGATATTTTTTTCAAGATGTTTGAATCGCTTTTTATTGTCCATGATAATATGTTATGTTCTTTGCATCATTCACTCTCAAACATAGTTCATGCCTGTAGCTCTCTTCCTTTTGTTTCTCACCCTCCAGAAGCATCTTTTTCAGTAGCGCCAGGTAGATGAGCCTTTTTTTTTTTTTTTTAAATACCATATTCAAGGGAGTCTGCTGCATTTTAAAACATAGTCACTGGTGTTTCTTGAATTGCTAGGGACTGATGTTGTGTTCGACTCAGCTCTTGCCCATCTGTATTGATTGTGTGTGTGTTTTTTTTTGGAGTCTGCTTTCTGTAGGGGTGAGGCTGGGCTGTCTCATGGTGGCTCCCACTGACGGGCACTGAGGCTGGCACCCTGTGGCATGGAGAAGCCTCAGGGAAAGGCCTGCCCCCCAGCACACACTCCCATAGTTTCCTAGGTCCAGCCAACCATTCTTTATTCTCTTCTATCTCCTTGTTCATCTGAAGCTTCCATTAGCTTGAAGCCTTTGCTGCTGGATGATGCCCTTTTTGGGAGCATCTTGTCTCTGACCTTTGGAAGAGGGGTCAGTCCTCATGATCCCCATGTGTTAAGCATGTGCTTTGCAGGTGCTCACACGACACTTACAACTTACTTCCTGAGCTGTGTCTGTACTCCAGGCTCTGGTTTGTGTATTTATCTGCCATTAGCATCATGATTTTTAAAATTTATTATTATTATTATTGTTGGGACAGGTGCCATTTACATTGCCTCCATGCTCCCCATTTGCACCTAGCTGGATCAGGTTGGGAGGCTGAGCAAACTCGTATTCCAGTTAGTTGGAGTTTTTAAAGGCTCTGCTTGCCTGGAGAAGCAAGGAGGTTAGAATGTATTTTTTTTTTTTAAGCATTTGCACTATTTAGAGTCCTAAGCCCCTCATGTTCAGCTGTGCTGTGTTTCTACTGACCAAACAGGAGAGCCAGCAGCACTTCCAGCATTTGGGAATGGAAGAGATTACTTCTGTAGTGGATAATTGCAGCCTCATAGCCCCTGTGCAGCGTTCGTCATGGGACTCAGTGACTCATGAATATAGCATCAGCCATGGCAGGAATGCACAGGACTGTGGCATTTGCAGCATCAAATTGCCCTAGTGCCATGTTTGGTTATGAGATTGTAAATTATTCGCTCCCCCGTCCTCCCCTCCCCTCGTTTTCAGTGGCAATAGAGGACCCTTGTGCTTTTTGTTTAATTTGCATATTATGTGTAAAATACTTTCTTTGAAAGAAAAGTGAAGACGCTGAATGTGTATGTCTGTGTGGGTGCTCTGTCCCTGTGGTTGTCATAGCCAGTCAGACTTGATCACTGACACCCCGTACAACATGTTGCGTAGGTAAGATCCTCGATCTGGTGTTCTCTGCATGGCTGTTAGGGACTGTATATCTTGTAAAAGAACACTTGTCACATGCTTGATCAGTTACAGCGATAGCTGAAGAAACATTTCCTCAAATGTATTATTTTAACAGGAATCATGTTCTAATTTCCCATCCTTTAATTTTAATAAAAGTTGAACTGTGCAAACTTTTCTCAGTATTTCATTTGTGTAGTCCACTCTCTCTGCTATGTCTCAAACATGAAAAGGACGGATTTATTCCTGTATGTCTTTGGATTAAAAAAATTTTAAGATGTACTGGACAAGATCTGGGTTCCTTGGTTTCCATCACTGGCCCCAGCAGAGTGCCAGGCCCACAAAGACCTTCTTCAATGAGGCCAAGAGAGGACAGTCCCTCCAGGGGGTGTTAGGTGGTGTGGGCAACTGCCAGATAATCACTGGGAACCACGGAGAGTCAGGTTTGGTGGGGAAGACAGCTAGCTCAGCTGGGCATCACCATTTGGGAGAGGAGCCTTGTATGAAGTGGGGGTGGATCCCTGGCTCAGCTGTAACTTCTCAAAGCCTCCTGCTCAGAGACCTTAGCTCTCTCTCTAGTTAACAAAGCAGTTCCAGGCCCTTTTGAGATGTCAGTAGCTCTGGCCTGTACCAGGTGACAGATGGACAGCACAGAGGTGTTGGACTTCCCTTCAAGCTGGAGAGACTCAAGGGACGAGTGGGAACCCTTAGCCAGATTCCTCTCCATATTTGGGAAAGTAAATTTTGAGCTCCAAGAGGGCACAGCCTGCTTGACTCACTCTGCACTCCTGGTGCCTGGCACTCAGCTGGCGCTCAGCTGGCACTCAGGAACAGTTGATGGAAGAGCAAAGAAAGGCACGTGGTAGGGCTCGGGTGGCAGTCTCTTTCCTTCCTCCAACTCCTCTTCCCTCTCCTGGGCTGGCCTCTGCCAGAGCCTCTGTTCTCCCAGCTGTCACCACTCACCCTCTGCTCCTGTCGAGCAGTTAGACTGTTCAGAAGAATGAGGTCAGGCCTCTTGGAGCCCCACAGATCCCGAGCAGGTGGGCAGGAATGTGTGCCCCTGGGACAGAGGAGGCCCACAAAGGTGAATCCATTTATCTGGGGGTGTGTTGTGAGCAGTGGAGCACACCTGGATGAAACCTACTAACTCTTTTGACCCACAATTGAATTTGCGCATCAGCCTGAGAAGAGGGTTCAGGCTGCGGTTGTTTCAATAATCATAGCAGCTGGCATTTATTTTGCATTTGATGTGTGCCAGGCCCTGTGCCGAATGCTTTAATTCCAGTTAATCTCCATAACACCTCATGGAGGCAAATGACCACATGATGCTCTGCCTAATTCACAGGATTACCGGAGTTAATTAACAGACCCTTGAGAAGAGGTGCAGGCCCCCTCCTCCTACTGAAGCTGCTTGCTGAACTGTGCCATCTTCAAATCCCAGAGGCCATACCCTATGAGTGCATTCTGCAGCGAGGAGGTCACCAGCGTCTGGCCCTCAAGGGTGGGCAGGGAAGCAGATCCCAGAGCTAGGCTGGAGACCCCCTCTGCGGTCAACCTGCTCTGGGCCTCAGCTGGCCTTGGAGAGGCCTGGCGAGGGGCTGATGGCTAGTGAGGGCTTTGTTTCAGGGCACACATATTTCCCCCACTATGCTTCTGGCCTGGTTTCTCCTTACAGGAGAAGTTTCAGAGTAATTTCATATTTGGTGGTTTTTCTACCAACTTATGTTTCTATAGTTTACAAATAGTGTCTTTTGACCCTAATAAGCTATTTTACTTTAATAAAAATATCTTCTGTTTGCCTCATGTGATTTTCACATAGAAATCTGTATTCCCCATTGTCTATCCCTTTCTGCTCAGACAGCTTCTCCTACTGCTCCAGGGTCAGTGCCCATGGGAAGGGGCCCCTGACTGGGATTTTAGACATTGTCAGATGCAGCCCATGTATTTGCACGTGGGGAAACTGCGGCTTGGAGCTGTAGAGAGGCAGCTGGCTCTTGTTCTTAGGTAGTTTTGATGTGGCTTTCTCTAGATCACTTGCAGCTCCAAAGCTGCACACAAGTGCCTGAAGTGAGCCAGGTTTCCCATCAGCCCAGTGGAGGCTCCAGGGCCTGTGCCTGCCTACCTGCCTCTGGCGGGGCTCTGGGGCTGAGGAAAGGCAGTGACTGCAGGCCTGAGGCCCATGACCCTCAGGGGTGGAACAGAGAGGAGGGGTGGCCCCCATCATGGCAGGGTGGTCTCTCTGAGACTCCTGCTCTGTGGCCACTCTAGCTTCAAAGGCTGCTCCAGGCTCCCAGGGTCGCTGGAGGCTGCAACTCTCCTTCGCAGGTGTCAGGGGCGTCTACTGGCCCAGGGTGGAAGGAGGCCTTGTTCTTGGCTGTGTGACCTGCAGCACATCCTTTTCCCTCTCTGGTTCCTTATCTGTCAAATGAAGGAACGTGTGTCCTTATGAGCATTTACTGCACTCGCCAGGCCCTGTTCTTGCTCCTACATAAATGGCAAGGAGATGGGGTTCAGAGAGCTGAGGGATGAGGGGAACAAGGATTTGAACCCACATCTTCCATGGTAGTAGTTTTTGACTGCTATGCTGCACGTGTTGTTAATCTGTTAGGACCCTGGACCCTGCCAGTGAACATGCATGATGAAAATGTTTTGATGACTCTCCTAATTGTAAGCTAAAGGCTGGAAAGTTTGGCTTTAGACCTCTTTCCTTTCCTCGGTTTTTCTTTCCTTCCCATTCCTAGTTCCCAGCTGCCTCTAGGAAAGACCCCACTGTCCCTCCCAGTGTTGGGAGTCTTTCATTCTCTCTTTTCCGCATGTTCAACAGTTACTTCTTCAACAAGAATATATCCATTATCTATGTTGCGTGTTGCTGGGAACTTGAGATGCAACTGCTAACAGAACAGGCGGTCCCTGTGGACATGGAAGTTTGAGTTTCTATGGAACATGGTCAGGTAAAGACGCAGGTACAGTCTGGTGCTGCGGGGGCAGGAGTGGGTGAGGAGGGGAAACACCTGCCCCCGAGTGAGAGTCACAGGGAGCAACAGGAGAGACAGAGACATGCAGAGACCGGGGGAAAGGGGGTGAGACTCGCACAGAGCAAGAGACAGAATGTGAGAGATGGAGACACACAGAAACACAGGGAGGCAGAAGCATAAAAAAGACGACGCACACACACACACGGCCAGGGAAGAAGAGGTACCATCCAAATGGAAACACAGAGGCAGATACCCAGAGAGAGAGAATGAGAGGGCGAGAGTGTAAGACAGGGCGAGAGTGTAAGACAGAGCAAGAGTCATTCCTGGCAGAGGATGGGTCAGCATGGCGGTTCAGATGCAAAGCTTTAGAGTCAGCAGAAGCTTTAGAGTCAGGAGACTTCAAGTCTGAACTCAGGAAGGGTAATCACTTGGGTTTGAGGAGTCTCTTCCCCTCTCAGAGCCAGTGCCCTGATCTGTAAAATATGGATGATGCACCACGTCTGTGAGCTTGTGGAGATGAACATGAGAAGGCCCTAAAACAGAAGGCAGCCGCTTCAGGCCCCAGGAGTCAGGCACGGCCTGGCAGAAGCGGCCTCCAGCATGAGACACTCTGAGTCTCTGGTGGTGGGTGCTGGTGCTGGAGATGTCCTGACTGCGTGCAGGCTCGAGGGACTGGAGTGTGTGTGGACAGAAGGTCTCTGTCCCGGGGTCTTGTCTGGGCCAGGAGATACACCTAGGACCTCTTTTCTTTTTTAAAAAACATTAGATCTTTGATAAGTAGAACCTCATTTCTGAAGGATGCCCCAAGTGGAGCCATCTGGCAGGGCCTGGTTTCACCTGTGGCCACTTAGCTGCTCTCTATTTGGCACAATGTGTTGAAATCCCTTTTTCTTTCCTCCTCCCTTGGAGGGGGTGGAAGGCATGAGTTTCAGGAGCTTACTTCCTGCTTTCAGAGTAGGGCCTCTTCTTGGTTTCGACTCTGTGCACACCAGGGAATGTGGGCTTTGGTAAGCAAGTGTGTAAGTGTTAACATGACTAAGGAATCTCCCATGTGGTCTCATCTGATTGACAAGTCCTGTGGGGTAGCCTTAGCAGATATTATTGTGTGCACTGTCTCTGCCTGTTGTATACAATGGTCACTTTCTCAATTTGTGGGTGGCACACGCCAAACACTCCACGTGGTGCCTGTGCATAGTGAGTAGTTTACTGGGGGGAATGAATATTATCATCTTATTCCCTTTATATAGATAAGCTGAAGCTCAAGAGACGTTAAGGAAGTCAATGAAGTTCTCCAGGCTTGGATTCTATCACGCAGGATTGTGTTTGGTTCCAGGTGACAGCAAAATGACTACAGTGGCTTAACCAAAGAGTGGACTACTTTGCTCACATAACCACAGGTCCACAGGCTGGTTTTCCAGGGCTAGCACAGCAGCTCCCTGGTGCCCAAGTATTGCTGTCTTCCTGTTCTTCCATCCTTAGCATGTTGTGAGACAGATGCTCCATAGGTATTCTGGTATCTGCACAACAGGGTGAAAAGGAAGGGGAGGGGAAGGTGGACAGTGCCTGCGACAGGAAAGCAAAACCTTTTCAGAAATCGCTAGTAGAGCACCCTTTACATTCTCACCGTGCTCCAGCTGCAAGTGAGTTGGGGCAGATGAATACTTTTACTTGGGCATGCTGCTGCTCCAAACAAACTCCGAGTTTGCCTTGGGAGAAAGAAGGGGAGAATGAACATTAGCTGGGCAACTACCAATGAGGCCACAGTGGAAAGTCCTTGTAGCCTTATGTCTCCAAATGCCATGTGGCTTCCTTTCCACCACTCAGCTTGGACTTTGCTTTCTTGGATCCAAAAGTCCAGGTCTTTTTGGTCCATTCTCTAGCATCTGCCCTTATTTTGGCTGGATACTGACTGTATGCAGGGCTTCTTGTCAGTGAGTGCTAAGGATGCTCCCTGTGCACTTGGCATCTACGGAGGGGATGCAGAGTGGGGGCTCAGAATAGGGCTGGGCAAGGAAGGCTTCCTCTCACAATTGCACTCCAGCCTTCTTCCTTGCTCTGTTTGGCATCAACAGTGGATGTCCCTATTGCAGGATAAATGAGAAACCCTAAGCCATGGAGACCTTTAGGAGCCCATTGCTGAGGCTTTAGTGGCGGCTCATTTATCAGCTGTGGAAGTTTTCCTGAAGCACTGATTGAAAAGACCTGTCAGCTGCAAGATCTATGAACTTTATCTCAAGAATGACCCATCTGTGCAGCACCATCAATCTTTCTGAGCCACAAACTGGAGGGTGGAGGTGGGAGAGA